CTATATTGTTGTATGCAAGTTGTTGTTGTATGTATGAATATGTTTGCATGTGCGCCTACATGTGTGTGTTGCGTTTTGACCAGAAAACACACGCAGTCATTTCGCTGCACAATATATCCTGTGAATCCGTCAACCACGTGCTGTATTAATTGCAAGGATTATTATCATTGTTATTAATATGTTTTGTTCACGAACAGGGACCTTTCCAACTGTTTCACTGTGAAATTAATAATCGCTTCAAACTAAAGTGTCTGAGAGCCTGGGTTCGAGGCTGCTAAATTCACAATGGCACAGTCGCGAGGTGGTTCCATACAGGAGATCAGCATCAAGTTTCAAGACAAAACAAACAGGTTTGCATAACTTCACCGCAACCCTCAGCTCCTTGAGACTAAGGAGCGCACAAGAGAGTGACTTATCGCACTGAAGCACCTCAAAATAACTTGACAGTGAGAAAGTTTTTTTCTCTAAATAAGCGAACGCAAACAGCCATTTTGCACACAGCAAACGGGCCTCACAATCAGCCGTGATGACATTGCCTGGAGGATTAATAATACAGCGCCTGGCATTTGATTCAGCGCCTAATCATTGAGGTCGCTGAGGTGTGATAAGGCACTAAGTTGTTGGTTAAGAACACCAGGAGAAATTCTCTTTTCCCGTAGAGCTACAGCATCTTTAATGTCTCTCCAAAGAGAAGGCAGACTGAAACTCGGCTTTTATGTCTTTATGTCATATCTGAAGGAGGGCATGGCTGATAATGGAGCACAGACAACGCCCTAACCCAACCTCCTCCCCCCCCCCACTCCCATTTTGCTCACTCATCCCCACCCTCTTTGCGAAACCTTTTGAGACGTTCCTCCTCAGTGAAACCCGGGCTCCCTTCCTGCGAGTGGGAAGCATTCTGAGATGCCGCCGTGTGTGAAGGGCGCTCTGTAAATGTTGAGAAGCCAGAAACTGTAACCTGGAGCAAAGCTTCTCTCAGCGATCAGTCAGAGGGAGAACAAGCCAGTGTGGTCCTGGAGGGCGTTGGGTGGGGAATTTAGTGACGGAGGAGAGGCTGCTGATAACAAGCAATAGATTCTTCTGGTGTAGGAGAGAGGGTGGGAGGGAGAGGCTCGGGAGGAAGTCCCAAAGCACTGGACTGTCAAGAGTTTGAACCTTGAGCTGCAGGTTGGAGTCGAGAGAAATGCAGGGCAAGGGGTGGGGTGGCGGAGGAGTTGGAAGATGGCCGAAGAGGACAAGGAGGGGCACTAAAAATTTAGCCTGAGACCTCGCGCGACAAAGCTGCCTTTACCCAGACCTCCCGTGGGTTAATCATTGCGTAGTGTGTTCTGACATGTTTGTTGCCTTATGCAAAGAGGACAGATTCTCTCTCTCCCTCTCTCCCTCAGAGAGACTGCTTAGCAGACCCATGACCAGTGGTGTCCAAATACACAGTCACTACACTTGAGAGCCAAAGTACCTTGTGAAGCGCTTTGAGACAAAGTTTTGACGTGGATGCAATGGGAGTACGGTTTATTATAGGAGTTCCGCTGGGGAGTGGTGGCTGAGCACTGCAGTCAAATATTAACAGTAACATTAACCGTAACTGTGCCTTTCTCTGGGGTTTTCATGTGCAGGTGGAATGCGTGGAATTCTCAGTTTGGAAAACTGTGTTTTTAAGTGGACTTTGCACCAGTTTCTGGCTCTCATATGGTTAATTTTTATAGGTGTTTGGTCGTCTAGGGAACTGGTAACCACCTCATCGCAGCCTCTCTGTTTGCGCTGGTTTCCCATTCACAATAAGAACCGGTTCTGCAATATCCTGGGGCTGAGATGCTGTCAGCTCACAGCGCTGTAAACCGGGCGAGCAACAAACCCTTTTGGGCGACGCTGACACTGTTTCGGGGGTCAGTCGAGTGTCTGATACACCCAGTGCCTAAGGGTATCCAAACCAAACTGAGAGTTCCATGCATCGCACTTGCACATGGAAATGCCAGAGATAGATTGTTGGAATGCAATGCGCTCTCTCTCTCTCCCTAGAGGGACACATCCTGCTTACCTAATTCCGGAGCGTATTAGATGCAGGTTGGCAAGAGCCAATGCTTGGAGAACCCCAGAGTGTGCATTGGGGTAACTGCTGGAGTCTAACCAACTAAAACCTCATAGCTTGCCATTGAGAGCAGTGTCTGGCAAGCTTTCCCACTGTTTGTCCAGCTAGGACCACCCTACCCTGTAGGGGTTTGGCTTGCAGGGTTAACAAGCTGAGTGGGATGATTCACTGCCCCCGGTGACTGGTCGGCCCTTCCAGGTCCTGCTGGAGGTTGATGTCCGGGCGGGATGAAACCTTAGGCAGGTTTCCTTACTTCACACGCCTCTGTTTACCCAGCAGTAAGTAGGAACCCGGTTGTTAGGTCGATAGGCTGATCGTTTTCCGGGGGGAAATAATCCCTCCCCCAAACCCCCCCCCACCACCCCACCCCCAAAGAATTGGTCACTCAATCCACGACTTGTTTGTGGGACAATTGGCTGCCGCATTTCGCTCACAAAATATACAGTCACTACACTTCACAGAATGATCATGAATCATTATACTTATATACGGTTCCTGCAATAGATTTGTTGAATTTCCTTCAAGTCTGAGGATTAACGAGGAAAGGAAGAGATCGGAATTGATTAGCCTTACAAATTATGTATCCAGTATATAAAAAATGTTTGTTTAACATTCAATTTTATTTGGTTTCAAACATTTCCAGTGAACTGGCTACAGGAGAAACGGGAATCATTTTTTCCGTAACAAAAAAAACAACAACAAAAAAACACTCCAATATAAAAATAATCAACATTCTGCAGTTCATTCAGAAACCATTCGTTTACAGACAGTTTCGGCTTTCACTGCGTATCACACCTACAAAACACACAGTCACTTGCACTTCACAGTGAAATCCTGTGAAGCTCTTTGAGGCATCTCGACAACGTGATAAGGTGCTTTATCAAATGCAAGGATTATTATTATTATGATCAGAATGCTGTACGCTCACTCTCCACAAGAGCTAAAACCTCTGTATTGGAATTTACACAAGTGGGAGCGTGCGGGTGAGATAATCTAATTGAGGAATAACAGAAAAGCTTCTGGCCAAGGAATAAGATTTCTTAATGAGGAATTCTGAGTGAGTTCTCTCCTCTCTTCCCCCCCCCCCTCCTCCTCCAGAGAACTCCTGACGCAAGTCACGACATGACACATGCCGTGGAAACTCCGCTCTATTCCTCTCCCGCCTGGGAAAGAATTCTGGAACGGAAGTCCATTCCTCCGTAAACAAATCCCCTTGCGAAATCATCCCCGTGCGGAATTACGCCCGTTTGACTACCCGCGAGAGCGCGTCTAAATGCGGCTTAAATCGTGAATCTAGAAATAAAAGAAATCTATCGAAAAATTACCAAAAAAAAACTTGTACTTTGGATATGACATTTTCAACCCTTTCTCTCCCCACACCGATTTCTGACGAGCCACTTAATGATATCAGACACTTTATCAGTGACTAATTATAAACAGTTTCATTTTCACTTTGTGTATAAAAAACCCTCTGAATAGGTTTGACAATATTCTCTGTCCTGCCTCCCTCCTTATTTACAGGTAATCAGATTAGAATTGATAGATTTATAGCTATCCTCTACCAACTGGACGCTTCAAGACATTGCCCTGCAGGAAGGGCACTAGATAAATGCTGGTTGTTGGGAGCAAACTAGTTTTGTTCTCCGGAAATCATATAGAAAAACTACCTGAAGCGCTTTAGAGAGAAGCTAAATCTGGGGTTTATGCAATCAAGACACCTCACCCCTCCTGCCTTGGGTGAAAGGTTTGGCCATGTTGCCCTTTTCACACGCACACACACACACACACACACATATTTATCCAATGAGGTGTTCCATAATGGGTAGGAAAATAGGAAGAAACCTGGATTTAGCTGTTTTCAGGGACAACTCCTCTGGAACAAAGAAACGTTCCACCTATGGATTTTGTTGTACATTGTGGGATTCATTGCTAATCCCCAGTGTGAGTCACTTGGTATTTGATCTCATCCAATTACTGGGTCTTTGTCCCATTTAACGCCTTGTGCATCTTTAGTTCCCAACCCCATCCCTCTCTCTTTATTTAGTATTCACCTGCCTGACAATTCCCCCAGCCCCACTGCCTGTAAATCAGGCACAATTTAAATTGAAATTAAATTTCACTAACCCTACCCCACTCACTCTCCATTTCGTCTGGCCCACGCCCTCCCTCCATAAACTAAATTTGAATCAGGCTGCCGGGTTTGCCCACACAGTCACTACACTTTACAGCCTATTCCCGTGAAGTCCTTCGACAAGAATTATTATTATCACGGCCCACCTCAAAGACCTCCTCTTCGACTGTGCCTTCGGCCCTCCACCTTTGTTTTAACGAGCTTATAAACCAGTTTCAAACGACCCCCTCTACTCTCCGTTTGAGTTAAAGTCTTCAAACCCGCTGCCTCCAACCTTTCACTAGAAATATCTTGTTTCTTCAAATTTTGAGAGACAGGTCATGGGAATAGTTATCCAGCAAAAAACCCAATAAACGTTTCACTCAGTTGGAGTAGTTGTCAAATCAAACTGAAAAGCTATAGTTTCCTCAAGCCCAAACTTGTCCGACTCTCAAAAAAAAGGATGGCTCCTTTGTAAAGAGAAACTTTGACAATATTGAAGAGGATAAGGCGGGGATGTCTGGCGGATTAAATTGATCTCCTTGAGTGAGACTTTGTGGGCAGAATATCCTCCTGCTGCGCTATGGGTTTCTACGTTTCTATATAAATTTTGCTTTAATACCAAGTTTCCCACAGGTTCCCTTTTTCATTTATATTACATATATTAAAAAAATGAATCTTGGGCATGGTTTATACGAGGGTTGTCCAACTTTTTCTTCCCATCTCACTACCCTCTCATTTCATCTGGCCCCCCCCAATCCCCCCCTCCCCTCCCCACCCAATTGAGTGCCCATAACCTGTAAATGTTATGTTATATAGCTTATGTGGCCCTTGGACGTTTCTCAAATAAGGCATTCGGTCCTCAGCAGACAAAGGGTTAGACCCTCCCCTGGTTATAGCAATAATTATCGGATGCAATCCATCCCGAGAGTAGTTGAGAATCAATCTCCAGGAGATGGAGAGGAGCTGAGCTAAGATGGCAGGTTACTTCTCACCCACCTGAGCTTTATACAACTCGCTAGTGCCCGGCTCGGGCTCGCGGTTTGCAGTGCGAAGCAAAGTGCTTTGAGACGTCTTCCCAACACGGAAAGAGTTGCATGAATGTACATTGTTGTCGTTGAGAGAATTCTAGAGATCCGTATTTTATTCCACCTTCCCCCGCACCCCTCCTCTCCCCCGGAGATTCCTCTTGTCAGGGCAGTGCCTGATTGTTCTTCACTGGAAGTCACGTTTAGTGTAGCCTTTCTGCAGAGAGAAAATAAAATAGATAATTAATAAAATAAGAATGATAATAGTTGCGTCTGCTCCGTGTGTTCTGTGGGCACATACCACGAAATAGAGCACAGCAAAATGATCTGCTGCTGTTGGGGGGGACCCTAAAAAAACCCACAGCAGAATCCAGAAATTATTAATAATTATTTATAAAAATAATAATCCTTGCATTGGATATAGCGCCTTATGTCTTAAAATACTTCACAGGTTATACAGTAAAGTGGATTGACTGTGTATTTTGTGGGCGAAACGTGACAGCCAATTGCGCACAGCAGCGTCCCACAAACAGTAATGGATTGAATCACCAAATCACTATTATTTCTTTGGAGGGATTATTGCCCCCTGGAAAGCATTCTGCCAATCGACTAACGACCAGGTTCCTACTTACTGCTAGGCAAACAGTGTGGATAGGGAAACTAGCCTAAGGTTTTGCCCTGCCCAGTGTGTTCTGTGAAGCGCTTTGGGACGTCCTCCCGACGTGAAGAGCGCTATATCAAATGCAAGGATTATTATTATTATTATTATTATTACCCGGGTCTTCTCGCTTGCGAGGCGAGCGCGCTAACCAGTCCACCACAGGACTATCTTGTGTTATACCCTGCTCTTCCAAATCTCCCACAAGAAGTCTTAACAGTCTTTTCACTGTTAGGCCTGGAGCCAAGGTGGTGAGAGATTGGAATGAAAGTTGGGGAACAGCATTTTGCGTAGCAACTCTAATGTTGTCATCATGGCAATCAGTTACTCATCTTGACATTGTGGTTAACTGCATCATGAAAAGGAAGAGAGAGAGAGAGTGGAGACCCACCCTGACGCTCTCAACCTATCTGATTGCTGTCAGATCTGCCCTCGGGGAGGAACAGGCCTGGGTTCCTCCCCAGTCAACCATAGGGTGAGAAGAGAGATGGTGAGTCAAGGCTTGTGGTTGATGCAATATTATGCATTGTTTGGCAGCTCGGAACCAAATGTGGGCTTTTCTTTTTGTGCTTCGGCGGTGGTGGGTGGGGGGAGTGGGGCGGAGAGGTTTGACTGTATAACCTTAGTTATAAATTCACGCATCTCCCTGGAGGGACAGATACACTCATCAAAGAAACAGCCATTAATCCAACACATTTCTCCGGTAATTGTACTGTAATTGTACTGTCAGCATCAGGGGTGGTGAGGGCAATTTTTTTTAATATATGAGCGTCCCCAAATTTGGTTTACAATCGCTCTAATCCAGAGAGCCCCAAGCAAGAGCCAGAAAGTTTCGCTCACGAAATACACAGTTCTTCCACTTGACAGTATATTCTGTGAAGCGCTCCGAGACGTCTCAATGACAACATGATTAAGCGCTATATCAAATGCAAGGATTATTATTAATATTAACAGGGAGCATAAACATAATGATGGTTAATAATGAATAATAACTATAATCCTTTGGCATTTGACATCAGGACTGCACCCTCAATGTAACATCTCAGGATTAATTATCTGCTAGTGACTTGCTGGTCAGCCCAGCGCTGGTTCTTACCGCTCTGTACTCGCGCTGCATGGACTTGTAAAACCACATGTTCGCCAGGAGGCTGGCCGCTGCTTTGTTGGTTTTATCGTCCCCACTGAAAAGGAAGAACAAGTCATTAGAAAAGCAAACAAGCACAACCACAAGCCCACATTTACACTCCTAGAGATTTTCAGAAGGAGGCCATTCGGTTCTTCGAGTCTGCCCTGGCTCTCAGAGCAAGCTGTGCGTTCAATCCCACGGTCCTGTCCTGACCCTACACCCCTTCAAGACTCTGTCTTTGGCGACTCAAAGCGCTTCACAGAATATAATAATAATAATCCTTGCATTTGATAGCCTTATCACACCTTCGAGACGTCTCAAAGCGCTTCACAGAATATGCTGTAAAGTGAATTGACTGCATGTTTTGTGGGCGAAACGCGGCAACCGATTGCGCACAGCAGCGTCCCCACGACCACTGTCGTGGATTGAGTGACCAATTATGTTGGAAGGATTATTATCCCCGGAAAAGTGATCCGACAATCGACTAACAACCGGGATCCTACTTACTGCTGGGTAAACAGAGGTATGTGGAATAAAGAAATGTCTTAAGGTTTCGCCCTGCCAGGGATCGAACCCGCTTGCGAGGCAAGTGTGCTCGCAAACCACTACGCTACAAAACTCCACAAAATTCATCTGGAGGTGAGCGGTGGTGTGGGGGTTGGTTGGGGTGGGGGCAGCAATGATAAACGGTGAACTTCGACCACCCTAGTCACAACAGGGACATTCCCCCTCTCTCTCCCCTCCACCCCAAACCCCCTCACCAGCTCCCGAGCCGCCCACCTGCTCAAATTGGTCTTGACGTTCATGAGCCTCTTGAGCCCGTTGTGGTTGACGATCTGCTTGGGGGCTTGAATGGTCTCCACTACCAGGTTGTTGAGCACGGAGCAGATGTTGACCACCACCTCGGTGTGCGGCATAGGCTGAGTGCTGTCCTCCGGCAACTTGCTCAAGAGCGGTCCGATAGTGCGGATGGCTGGAGAGGACGGCAGGGAAAGAGATCCTTCATAAGTACAGGGAACATTCACCGTGAGTAACAAAACAGGGTTCGCCATTCCACTGGAGAGGCACAGGACGACGAGATTTGAGCCCAGTAGTAACACGGATAGGGAGAGACACGAGAGACAGAGACAGCGCACACATACGCGCGTGCGCGAACTCACCCACAGATACAAACCCGTGTACATATACCGTGAGAGAGGCACGTGCGCACACACATGCACACCAAGACGGTGAGGTACAAACGTGGACAGATGCACGCACACCGGGGAGAGAGCCAGACACACATAGAGCAAGAGACAGAGAGACACACACACACACACCCCTACAAACAGATGTTGGATTGTTTGCAGAGGTTGTCAAACAAATACCGATCCAAAACAGAAAGCTTCACAAAAACTCCTTTTGTCCTTCATGTAGGACAAGGGATAAGGAAGGTTTTGTCCACATAAAGACCAGGATTCTTTTGTTCACCTTCAAAATCTCCTGCCAGGCTAGAGACTATTGTGACTGCACTCAGGCTGGTGACTGAGGTCATGGCTGGGATTTAGTACCTATTTACCCAAGTTATACAGAGATTAGCAGTCATGCGATCGCCGCGCTCACACCTACACACTCCACACACATCCCCCCCCACACACACCCCACAAACACACACCCACCCACACACAAACATATCCCTCCCACACATAGACACGTACACCCACACACACATAACCCACACACAAACTCCCCTCCCCCCCCACACACACCCACACCCACACACAGGAGGTGGGTTAGTTCCCCTGTAGAGCTCAGCCTTGGTGCAGCCGTGAACACTGTTGATGGCACGGGGGCAGAAAGGGAAGCCAGGTCTTGTCCCCGGGGTAAACTCGCCCCCCACCACCACCCCCGGTTTACACGTGAGGCGGTCCCTCCGCTCAGTGACACTCACAGATATCCTCCTTGTTCCTGGCGTGGGCGGAGAGGTTGCGAAGCAGGCCGGTCGCAGCTCGCATCATGGTGGGGTCGTTGCCCTTCAGCTGGTCAATAATAGTGAACCAAGTGCTGTCCTGGTCTGTAGTCAATCGACTCATCACAGAGGCCCACTGAGAACACACGAGAGGCAACAATAAAGACAGCTGGATTCCAACAACAACAGCCTGCAATTACAGAGCGCCCTTCCTTCATGCCACACAGTGCCTCGGAACTCTGATCTCTAACTTCCCCCCCGCCCCCGTTTCCCCCAAACACCCCCCATCCCCAAGAAAAATTTCATAGCCTTTAAAATAGAGCTGCTGGAGTAGAGGCTCACTATAAGGCTGCTGCGTTTCGCCCACAAAATATACAGCCAATTCACTTTGCAGTATATTCTGTGAAGCGCTTTGAGACGTCACGAAGACGTGATAAGTTGCTGTATCAAACGCAAGAATTATTATTATCACAAGACCCGCGGACCCACGGCCGGCCGGGCTCTTGAACGCTAAAATAAATTAGCCAACGTCTGCGCGATAAGATCTCACCGAAGCCACTTCCTGCGCATCCACAGAAAGTGATATCACCAGCAACCTGCCGATCTGAAAGTCGGCCATGTTGTTTGAGCACGGGCGGCCAGTGGGCAGCGAATGAGAAAGCATTAATCACGGGCCATTGGACAGTGGGTTTGGATTTCAAAGCCACCATCAATCATCATTACAGTGGGGTTCTGCCATCCTCAGGCCCTCCCAACCGCCCCACCTCCGAAGGCGCTGTCCTCTTCCTTACCCGGAAGTTTCCGGCTGTGATGTTCTGCAGAGCCCCCAGGGCTGCCTCGGCGGTCAGCTGGTTGACGCTGGCCTTATCCAAGAGCTCCTTGTACATCTTCACAATGGCCGGGTTCCACAGCCACTCCATCCCCTGAGGGTTTTTGGAGACCTCGGTGAACACCGACATGTCCGTGTTGATCTGAGGGCAAAACAGGAAGATCATGTTCGACAGGCAATTCAGAGTTACAACGATTTACATAATAATGTAATCATAATAATCCTTGCATTTGATCCAGCGCCTTATCCATCTTCGAATCGTCTCAAAGCGCTTTGCAGAATATACTGTAAAGTGAATTGACTGTGTATTTTATGGGTGAAACGCGGCAGCCAATTGCGCACAGCAGCGTCCCTCAAACAGTCGTGGATTGAGTGACCAAATTATTCTTTTTACAGGGGATTACTGTATGACCGCCGGAAAGTGATCCACCCGCTGTTGGATGACTAACACTCAGGTTCCTACTTACTGCTAGGTAAACAGAGGTGTGTGGGGTAAAGAAATTTGCTTCAGGTTTCACCCTGCCCGGGAATCAAACCCGGGTCCTCTCGCTATCTGGTGTGACACCCTCCTCTTGCAAATCTCAACCTCAGCCGAGAAGGTGGAGTCTCACCTCTTTGACCTTCCTGCTCTGGGGGGTGAAGCATCCCACCACATCCTCCTTCTTGTCGTTCTCGTTTCGGCTGGGACCTCTCAGACGGTGCTGGTAAGCCGAGGGGATCTCCTCGTACAGGCGATAGGACAGGTTCCGCAGAATGCAAGTGGCGTTTTCCACACTCTGAAACGGGGGCGAAGTGTGTGGGGGGTGGTGGGGGGGGGGAAGAGGCAGGGAAGAGGATCTTCAGTTAGTCTCTGCAGTTGCGATAAGCTTCACAAATGTCTTAAGCGAAGTGTTAGTTTGCCATCTGTCATTGGCCCGAAACACCACTGCCCATTGCCGGGTCAATCTCTAGCTCAGTGGATGGAGTGGATGAGCAAGAGTTGGAGTGTTCCTCACGCCCCCTCCTACTATCTCCCCCACACTTCCCCCTTCTCCACACCAACACAAATAGATTCTGGTTCTAATGTAGATCATTGTCAGTAATCGACAGACTGGATCCAACCCAAAATAGAACCCCTTAAAACCACCTCCCCCACCCGGAAATAAAACAGCCATTGCTCTGGGTGTTATGAGCTGTTATTTCCAAAGTACTCCCCAAGACTCCCCCCCCACCTCCCTTCCTCCCTCCAAGTCCATCCTCCATTCCCCACCAGCTATGAATGGAGTGGTTGAGTAAGGGCAGGGTGTTGGACGAGTGTGATTGAGTATGTGTGTATATATGTGAGTGTAGGCATGTAGGGGTGTCCCAGCTGACACCAGTGTGTGCATTGATGTCTACCTTGTCAGCTGCTTTTCCGGTATCGAGAGATTGCTGAATGTAGTGGACGAGAGAATCCACCAAGCCTTTTATCCCTCGCATTTTCCCCCGAGTTTCCTCTCTCCCAGAGCTCAGATTTCTGTACAAAACACCAAGGGAAGTGGCTTATTGTGTGGACGTACAAACAGAGATATCATGGTGGGGGGGGGGGGGGGAGAAGAGATTGGTTATCAAACATAATTCCCTCCCAGTCAAAGTAAAAGGCCTGTTCCAAAGTTCTTGTGGTCCGCGGGCCAGAAGTGGCCCTCTGGGACATCAAGAAGTGCCCCCTACCCCCCTCTCCCTGAATATGTGTGCAAGTTTAGGCTAGTCTTTGTTCAATAACTAATGCGTTTCCAATTTTTACTCGATTGACTATTTCTTGATTGATGGCCTAAATCAAGGATATTTGTTTTTACAGCGCACCCTCTTAAGAATATTTATTTTGTTGGCCTACCAAAAAGTTTGTCCTCCATCACTGTCTTAAACGGTCAGATAAACACAAGCGTCCAGGTTTGGGTTTGGAGTAACAGCTCAGTTCTCGTATCCTTACGCTCTCAAAGAGAGACGTGAAGTTCCGGTGAGGTTACCACTGCGCCAGATTTACGCATCTCGGTGGAAATCTTACCTAAAGTAGCCGGTGGTGTTGTAGAAGATTTCTTCCTCAGTGGAGTTTGGGAACACAGAGGTGCCAGCATTCCAGCCCGACAGGGGAATCAGGATTCTCTCCGTCACTTCCTCGAGGGTATCTTGAGCCAACGATTTCTTTAACATCTCATTGGAGGACAGGTTCCACAGGATCCCTGGAAAACAGAGACAAACAGGGTTTAGTTATTTTTTAATGCGTCAGTCCATAACCCAACCGGTAGCTCCAACAACAACTAGCGCCCCTCACACAGGGCAGCGTCCCAGAGCGCTCGACAGTGGCGGAGCAAGATGCCAAGCCCGGGGGGGGTGGGAGGGTGTGGGAGCATTGCAATGTCAGCTGTCCTTCGGATGAGACATTAAACCTGAGATCTCCTCTGTCTGTCTGTCTTCAGACTTTTTCTGAAGCACAATTCTGAAAGAAAAGGGAGTCTCTCCCGGTGTCCTGGCTGACACACACGCGCACAAAATACACACATACATACACACACACTCTGTGTGTTCTGTGGAGTGGGGAGTGGGGGGGGTGGGATTTGTAGAGCAGAGAAACGAGTGAAGTAGGAGGAACAGGACGTAGGAAGGTAATTAGCTGCTATTTATTATACAGACAGGTTGCAGTTGAAGGAGGTTCAACGCGCTAAAGGAAAAGCTTCAAAAAAAGTTGAAAAACTTTCAAAAGTTTTTTTAAAAGTTTCATCCCAGTTTGCAGAGCATTGGAAAGAAGGTGGAGCCCACTTTTCTGGGCGGGGAGAGGGTGAAGCTTATTAAATAATACAAATAAACTTTTGCTTTGATACAGCACCTTTCATGTAAGCGGATTGATGACTCAAAGTGCTTCACAGGATTTTTACCTGCTTCGGTCTACACCCTGACGGCAACTACATCAAATTATAGTTACATTGCCCCTTTCGCATCGGGAGGACGCCCCAAGATGGCAGAGAGACTCTGGGCAGTTAGGTAGGCAGTGTGTAGACGTGAGACTGGTTAGACTCAACAAACTTTGGAAAGGGAGAGGCAGCAACTGGTAAAGAAAGGCATTGCTTCTTCTCCCACCGCGTATCGCCACACCCGGTAATAATTATGGGTTTGCCAGCCAAGCGCAAACAGGTTCTCTCATTCCTGTTTGACTCGTACCTGCAGGAAGGACGAGGGGGAGAGAGAGAGGGGGGACAGTGCTGGGAGAAATCGAATGGATTTCTTTTTGTGCCCGGGGGTACGTCTTTGTTTTTGAAATCGCACTGAACTATTTCTCTGCGGCGAGATTTCAGGGAGAAAGGGTTTGGCTCGCAGTGACCTGAAATGGAATCATTTCTCCCCATGAATTAGCCTCTACCCTCCCCCCCCCCACAGGCTCTGCCCATTGCCTCCCTCCTCTCTCTGTGTCTGTCGTATGGGTTCCACGAGCAACGCATCTTCGTTTTACATAACTTTAAGAAGCCGTCACACGGGGGTGTGGGGTTAAGACCGGGAGGAATTTCAGGTCTCTGGTGGGTGGGGAGCCATTAGGACCCCCCCACCTCCACCCTAGGAGGACCTACCCGTGATGTTGGTCTTCAGCTCCTCGTCCGTCTCTTCCAATGCCTGCATCATCTGAGATATGCCATTCTGCTTGACGAGCTCGTGCTTGTTCTCGGTGTTGTTGTAGATGAGGTTCCTCATGGCGGCAGTGGCACTGCGCTGAACCTCCAGCGACGGGTGGTTGAAGAGCCCGATGAGCTGAGGGATGGCTCTCAGCAGATAGGCCTGCAGTGGGGGGGGGGGAGAGAGGCGGTGGGTGGGGAGACGTACTCAGTTCAGCAAATAGTCATAGGTCTCCGAGACGTTACCCTCCGTTAGTGGTGTCCAACCCATGAAGTGGGTGCAGCGCAGATTCACCAGAATGATACAAGGGCTAAAAGGGTTAAATTACGAGGACAGGTGGCGTAGAGTTAGCTTGTATTCCTCGAGTTTAGAAGGTTGAGGGGTGATCTAATTGAGGGATTCGATAGGGCAGATACAGAGAAACTATTTCCTCTGGTGGGTGGAAGGGAATCTAGAACAAGGGGGCATTGTCTTAAAATTAAGAGCCAGGCCATTTAGGAGTGAAATTAGGAGGCAGTGACAACACACCCACACAAAGGGGAGGGGAAATCTGGAATTCTCTCTCTCCCCCAAAGGTTATGGATGCTGGATCAATTGCAATTTTCAGTACTGAGGTGGATAGGTTTTTGTCAGGTCAGGGTATCAAGGGATATGGGGCAAAGGTGGGTAAATGGAGTAGAGGTACAGATCAGCCATGATCTTACAGAATGGCAGAACAGGCTTGAGGGTCTTGTTCCTATGTTTCCCACCCCCACAACATTCACACCGGTCTAAGTAAGTCCATGTTTGATCGGTCGTGTGTTTCCAGGTTTTTCTTGACTGATTATTTTTTGATCCATGGCACGAAGATGGAGTTCCAGAGGGTGGGGGCAGAAAGGCTGAAGGCCCGGTGGGTAATGCAGGGTGGGGCAGGGGACATGAAGGAGGCCAGTGGCCACTGAACCCAGGGAGCTGACAGATTGATTTGGCCAGGCAAAATAACACAAGTCACCGCGCTCCAGTGAGTCTTGTGATGTGTTCCTGACCATGTGATAAGGCGCTGATCATCCTCACCTGCTTCTTAGCGCCTGCATCGTGGTAGCACTTGTGCTGGATGTAGCTCGCTCCCACCACCTGACTGTTCACATCACCAGAGCTCAGCAACTGCACCGCTGTCGGGAGGTCTAACCTATCAGCACTGGAGAGAGATTCAGTGGTCAGAACCGGCACGGACATTACCCCATATACAGTGACTCCAGCTGAACATGGGACCTTGCTGTGCGCAAACTAGCTACCGTGTTCCCTCCCCTGCCCTCCCCCACCCCTAAAAAAATACCCAGTCACGTTATTTTCTGTGAAATGCTTTGAAACTGTTCATTTTGGTTGTTTCAAAATAATAAAACGTTCCCTTTTAACCCTCCTGGAGCCCTCCCTTGCTTCCTTCAAGGCCCATCTCGAGACTTTCCTCTTAGACTGTGCTTTCGGCCTCCCTCCCACCCCCACCCCTCTTGATTCCAACCCTCAGCTCGGGTGCAAACCCTTGACTGTCCAGCGTCTTGTGATGTCCTCCCCACATGAAAGGCGCTGGTATCAATCCAAATTTGTTGTTGTTTTGTGGTTGACCCAAGGGATGAGAGGCAGAACCTCAGAGACACCTTGATGGTTTGTGATGTACAAAGCATGATGGGGGTGAGAAGGGGGTCACAGACAACACTTACTCTGAGATCATGTTTTGTGTAGTCGTAAAGGACTGGGACTGCTGAGTCTGGCCGTCGAATATGTCGCTCATGTTGCTAGCGGGGACTCTCAGGCTGCTCAGCGAGGGAGCGCGTTGCATTGACTTCCGGTTGGTGCTGAAGGTGCTGGAGGCGCTTCTCTCCCGGGCTCCCTTCCCGTGAACTCTCTGCAGGGTGCGCTGTGCCGGGGGCCGGATGTACAGGGCTTGTGTGTTCGCCATATCCTCCGCCTGGCTGGTCATGGCAAACATGTCAGCTCCGCTCACGCTGTTGGCTTTCCTCACCGAGGGGTAGTTCACACTATAGCTTCTAAACGCACCAGACTCGCCGCCCACGGACATTTGTTTGTAGTAAACGGAGGGGTTGATCTGTTCTGACATCACGCTCACATCCCTCTCCTGTAGGTTGGGCTGCATGAACTGGCCGTTCATTTGGGACTGATGCCAGGAATCCCTTCTCACCACCTGCCGGGGGGGAGCCGAGTGGAGGGACAGGGTGTCAATGTCCGGCTGTCTCTGGCTGTATCTGTATTCCGTGACCTTCCTGACGGACGCCGAGGGAGGAGGGCCAGGGATGTGCACAGACATCGGTCTGTATCTCTCATCTACACGACGGCTGATCTGACTGGCTCTGGGGGTCTTGCGGATATTGACGTCAAAGGCCGAGTAGGAGGACGACCCAGGGAATTTGTGCTGAGAATGGTACCCCGGGGGCTGGATGGTCTGATGGCAAGAAAATATATATATTAATAATAATCATAATCAGAGTGTGGCAAAAAAAATCAGCAGCATCATCAGAGCACGCATATCTACTGCATAAACTACCAACTACCAACACGACATGTGCAAGAGAGAAAGAGAGAAGGAAAGAGAAAGAGAGAAAGAAGGACGAGGATTTTCAATTCGATCCCCTGGGGGAGAAGGGAGGGGTGGGGAGGGGGTTGTGGGGGAATGGAACGCACAAGCAACCAGTGAGAGGTTGGGGAGCGATGGGTTTGGTGCGGGAGAGGACACGGAGGCTGGCAGGGTTCTGGGATGTGGGTATGAGGGAGTAGCCGGGGAGGCCGATGGGTGGAGAGCGAGGAAATAAAGGACATCAGAAGAAAGCGATGAAGGTGTGGACGGTGGCTGCTCACCGAGTACTTTCTCTCCGTGGTGAAGATCTGCGATTTGGACATCGGCATGGTTGCTGTCTGGTAAGAGCTGCTCAATTCTGTTGGGTTAATTTACAGCAGATGTTAAGGCTCTGTTCAAGGACTTGCCTCAGACTTTCCTACCCTCTCTCCACACACACAGCCCACACCACCACCACCACTATGTGCCCCTTCAAGACTGAGCTGATAAATTGAAGCTCTCTTAACAATGCTCCGTGGCAGTGAGTAAAGCAAACCAGATGTTGGGATGTATCAAAAGATCAATAACAAAGCCAAAATAGTGGGGTAATCCTGCCACTGTATAAATCATTGGTGAGACCATACTTAGAAACTGTGTACAGTTCTGGTCACTGCAGTACAAAAAGGATATTGGAAAAATCGAGAAGATAAAGAAATGATTGAGGGGATGAAAGGACTGGACTATGAGGAGCGACTCAGTAAATTGGGTATGTTCACGCTGGAAAAGAGAAGATTGAGAGGCGATATGATTGCTGTCCTTTAAGATTCTAAAGGGACAAGACAATGTAGATCATGACAGACTGTTTTTCAATTTGTTCTGAATAATAAAACAATAGGACATGGTCTCCAATCAAAGGGAGGTAAATTCAGAACAAATCTACGCAAACACTATTTCAGTGCACGAATAGTGAACCAGTGGAATAGGCTCCAGAGGGAGACGGTTGAAACAGCAAGTATTGATTCCTTCAAACACAGATTAGATAGTTTTCTTTTAGGAAATAACATCATGGGGTATAGTACATAAGGATTTTGGGACATATGTGCCTACGACCACCAGGAAGGTGGAAGACGAACTTAGATGGACCTTGGTCTTTGTTCGTCATTTCTTATGTTCTTATGTAGGTGGATAGATTTAAGACTGAGGTGAATAGCTATTTGTTAGATAAGGATAACAAGGGATATGGGGCAAGGGTAGCAAATTGGAGTTGATGTACAGATCAGCTGTGATCTTATACAATTTTGGAACAGGTTCAAGGTGCTGAAAATGGCCTCCTCCTGTTGCTATGTTCTCCCACCATCACCACTTTCTCTGCACACCACTCACACCATCGGGAGGAATTGCCTTCTGTATGGAAGGCAATGGGAGTCTAACATCTCAAGACAAGAAGGTCTGAGCCATATTAGCCAGGAGGAGAAAACAAAAGCCATCAAAGAGGCAACAAAGATAAATATCAGGTTTCAATAATAATTTGGTCCCTGACTCTACCACAAGTATCTCAAAGCAGGATATGCTGTAGAATGGATTGACAGCATATTTTATGGATGAAACACGGCATCCAATTTGTAGACTGCATTGACCCACAGTGGTGGAGTCAGGGACTAATTGCTGAGTGCAATTGGATACCACGTTTCGCCCACAAATATAGTCACTCCACTTTATTGTATAATCTGCAAAGTGCTTTGCAATGTCTCAAAGACATGATAAGGCATGTATCAAATGTAAGTATTATTAGGGCGAGAATCCAGCAGAGCCATTCTCACTGGTAAAAGTTATAATAATAGTAATTCTCATATTTGATACAGCACCTTTCATGTTGGGAAGACATCTAAAAGCACTTCACAGGGTGGGGAGCGGTCAGGGGGTGTTGACCAGGACCCCAGGAAAGAGTGTATATAAAGTGCAGTGACTGTGTTTTGGTAGCAAACCCGGCAGCAATTTGAATACAGCCATGTCCCACAACAGACAAAGTGAGAGACTGATTTTTTAGCATTGTGTTTGCACAATGTTGTTGGGACGCAACTGTGAGCCAAGCCAGCACTCGCAGCATCTACCCTAATGACTGGTAACGCTTTGTCTTTTAAAGGCAAAATACCTCTGGGTGTAAACTGAGGCTGAGTCTGACAGGTAAAGGTTTTTTGTGTGAATAAACTAAATAATTTACGAATTGATGCACTCAATTGTATTAGTAAATAAAGCAGCCCGGAGTAGATGGAGAAGACTTCATCAATGATTTATCCATCCATCCGCCTGCCTTCTCAACTGCTGGCAAGACATCAGTCGATCGGGTTAATGGCCGTCTTTTGCGAATGACGTGCCGCATAAGTTTGTCTCGCACCCGTCCTTCAGACGAGATGTAAGAGTGAAATTCCATCTGGGCCCTGTTCGGGCAGGTGTTAAAGATCACGTGGCACTAATCGAAAAGAGGAGGGCGTTTCTCCTTCCTGGTGTCCTGGTCAACACCCCCCACCCCACCACTCCCCACAAGCCCCACCCAGATAAAATTGGTCACTCACGCCATGTTCACCCACTTGTATCTGAAAGCAGGATGTACTGTAGAGTGGATTGACTGCGTATTTTTATGGATGAAGCACGGCAGCCAATTTGCATATTGCAATATCTCACAAACAACCGTGGAGTGAGCAACTAATTTTATCGGGGGATTGTCGGCCAGGACACTCACTGACATGCTTAGGATGTTAACTCATTTTCCTCCCTCCCACCCGCCTGCAAATTCTCTGCATTTGTCTGTAAAATTGTGTTTGAACAAGACTCTGGGTGGAGGTTAGCAATGAGTAACCATAACTCCAGCATGAGTCAGAGAGGAACTAAAACCAGCTGATACATAGACTAATAGATTAGATAGGAGAATGTTAGTCACCATCTGGAACAGACAGGTAACCGGGGTGGGGGTAAGTATTTTGGGGGGAAATTTAACAAAACAGGCAGATCAGAGAGAGAAATGGTGTGTCTGGCACCCAGGTGATGTGGTAATGGTCACAGAAGAGGAGGAGGGGCAAAGTGAGCTGTTGTGGTCTGAGATTATTCAAATAAATAACTCTGGTCCGTCTGCTTTGTTGCAAATTACCCCCTTCTTTGTTTTGCATTATTAACACCTTTTTCCCCCCTGTTTTGTTGCAATCTCACCTTTGTTTTGCACCATTGACACCTCTTTAACCCATCATCCCCTGCACTCTACCCCATTTTCTCGTTAGCTTCCTTGCCCTGCCTCCTCTCTGTTAACCCTTAAAAGCCTCTCCCTCCCAACATGTCCCAGTTCTGACAAAGGGTCGTGGACCCGAAATGTTGACTCACTTTCCTTTCTCCATAGATGCTGCCTGACCGCTGAGTGTTCCCAGCGACTTCTGCTTTTGTTTCAAGTTACCATCCCGACTTTTATAAATAATAAAAGTCCATCATTTATAAATAATAATCCTTATCACGTCTTCTAGACGTCTCAAAGTTCTTCACAGAATATACTGTAATAGTGAATTGACTGTATGTTGTGCTCCAGACTCAGATTAAGGAATCCTGTTTAGAAATACCACAAATTTAGACACAGATATTCCACCTCCCACCCCACTAAAGAATTACAGTTTTAGTTCTGGTAACACAAATAGTCAAGAGAGTTTTTAACTGTTAAAATAACTCTTCAAATGAGTTAGTGGGGAAATGGGATAGGAACAAGGGGAGTAACCTTTGCTTTTATGTCGGGCCACTAGATTTGGAGAATTCTAGTATGTTGGTCTTTCCTCTCTCTGAACTGCGCTGAGGTTGTTACACTCTGAAAGTTGGCGATTTTTTGTTTTGCTTAGGAGAATTTTGTTACCCTGTGGTGAAGGGGAGATGGGATGGGACTTGTGGAGGGTGGAGAAGGACAGAGAAGTATCACAGAAACCTACTATAATAGCAACTGAGAGAGAGGTGGAGACAGAGAGAGGGAGAGAAACAAAAGTACCTGATCTGAGATTGAAGTGCTGGATCCATTCAAATGTTCAAGATTGAGGTGGATAGATATTTGTTAGGTCAGGGTATCAAGGAATATGGGGCAATGGCGGGTAAATGGGAGTTGAGGTACAGATCAGCCGTGATCCAATAGAATAGTGGAACAGGCTCGAGGGGCTGAATGGTCTATGTTCATATGTTCCTAACACAGAACCCCAGGTACAACGGATGACCAACCCGCAACCGCGAGCGAAAATCGTGATTCACACACACAAAAACAGCGGCACCAAAAATAATGGACTTTTATTAACTTGGGAATATCCCGAAGGTGTGTCTGCTTGATCTTAAAAAGTGCGCGATTGTAATTTGCAACCGCATGGTTCATGGTTGACGCCTCATAAAGCAGAGGACTGCTATACAATAGCCAGGCAAGATAAACGGACTTTGTCCAGGTAGGTTTCCATCCTTCGAACACGTGTGCTCAGACTCGCTAAGTTTTGTGAGATTTGCATTTTACCGAAACTTCCCCCCCCCCTCCCCGCATCCTTCCCCAGAGGGCAGGATATGTTGACAGTGAAGCACAAAAGACCTGGAACAGAGACAGAGTGGCTTTTGTCAGGAGAACGGAATAGGTACGAGGGAAAACGTGGCAGAGGATCCTGGCTGTGCTCTTGGTGAAGGTTTAGTTGAGCTGCTTCAAAGTTAGGAGAGTTTTGTTACTCTATGGTGGAGGGGAGATGGGATGGAACTTGTGGGAGGTGAAGAAGGACAGACAAGTATCACGGAAACCTACTATAATAGGTTCTTAAGCAGGAGTAGACCATTGCCCCAGTGATCTACCATTCCAAGTTCCCAAATGATTCCCTCCGCAAACCCATCACTTTAACTGATAAAGGAATCCAAATTAGAAGGGCGTTATCTACTTTCTTTTTTCCTTCTGGTTAATTGGAACCACTATTACCACTTTTCCCAGCTCAGGATTTGTGAATGGATGCAACAATGTCTTGTTCAGTAGAATCAGTAGAACAAAGAGGAAACAGGTTTAAGAGTTGCAAAAGGGGCCAATTGGAGTGTCACCTATGTGAGTTCAAGTCCTGACGTGGGATTTAAACCCACAACCTTCTGACTCGAAGGCTCAGCCACTAAGCCAGGCCGACAATAGGCCCAAACTATCTATAAAGTGTACAATCATGATCACTAGCCCCTCTCTCTGCTTCAGAGAAACTACAGGGGAGGAGGAGGCCATCTGGCCATCTAGCTGCCCCACTGGAGCTGTCTATTCTCTACTGAATTAGGTTCGAAACCCAGAAAGGCGAAGAATGTCAAACTCGTTTGAAATTCTCTGTTACCCTGGAATCAGCGCAAGATATGTCGAAACCTGCACAAAACTAAGATAGCATCAAGCTCCAAATCCCAACGAAAGTGTTTTTCCTGTATCTCTAGTTTTCAGATTGTTAAATTCAGGCTTCACTGTATCTTATATAATAATAATAATCCTTGCATTTGATATAGCGCTTTTCACGTCTTCTAGATGTCTCAAAGCGCTTCACAGAATACACTGTAAAGTGGAGTGACTGTGCATTTTGTGGGCGAACCGTAAATGTGTGGAAGGAATCTTTCAGGGAGTTGATTAGGCGAACCAAGTCTACTCCTTCCTGCTCAGCATCCACACGTGAAAATAACAGGAACTCGAAAATAATACCATGAGGATGTAAAAAAAGGGTAAAAGTGAAAGTGGGAGCTCACACCAGCAACCAGCGACATTTTTTTCTTTGTTTGGAAGTTGTGAGAGACTTTGAATACATTTAATACGAACAGCAACGACCGTGTTGAGAGCGACAGTGAAAAAATTCGCAACGTCTACTGACACAAAACATTTTGCAAGTCAAACCCTCAGAGCACAAGGTCGGATTTGCTTATAGTAAAACCTGATATTCAGGGACTCTGAACCTTGGACAAGGGTAGAGGCAACTCACGACCTGCCCTCTGCCATACAGTAACTACTCTGTGGTTCCATGATTAGGAACATAAAAATGCTAGACGCAAAAAGACCAAGGTCCATTCAGTTCATCGCGCTAACAGTTGCAAGCACATGTCAACAACAACAACTTGGATTTATATAGTGCCCTCTATGCCGGACGGCGTGGAGGGCGCTATATAAATTCAAGTTGTCCTGTCCTGAAATCCATGTCCTGAACGACTCATACATCCCCAAATATTATTTCCTAAAAGAAATCTCTCTAATTTTCTTTCGAAAGAATCGACACTTTCTGCTTCCACCATCTCCCTACGGAGTCTGTTCCATACATTTACCGCTAGCTCACTGAAATAGTGTTTCTGCAGATTAGTTTTGAATTTAGCTCCGCTTCAATCTGGTTCTACCTTTCTGGACAAGATGAAACACCTCTTCACTGTCTACATTATCCAGTCCCTTTTGTATCTTAAAAACAGCAATCATATTACCTCTCAACCTTCTCTTTTCCAGAGTAAATACACCCAGTTTAATTAATCAATTATCAACATGTTTCTACAGGTAAGAAAGGCACTATCCCACATCTCACTAGAGGTATATTACTCAGGCAGTAATTTTCATTATACAGTACTTTCAAATTCAAGCAAAGAATAACAAGCTTTCAGTAACAAATGATTAGAATGACACTTTAACTGCGAATGCATTGCATGAAGTTAGAAAGATAAAGAGGCGGAGAGGGGTTGGTGGAGGGACACAGAAAAGGCATCCAACAATAGAGGGAATTGTACAGTATATATACAGAGCCCTGAGGCAAGTAATGTTATACGGCACAGAGAAACAGCAAGGGATGGGAATGGATAGAGAGTTCCAGTGGGTGAGGTAGTACCAGCACAGATTAGAAGAGGTAAATGTCCTTTTTAGGTGCCGTAAACCTTCCAAGATCAGAATTGCCTTTTCAAACCACAATGGAGCCTAATAATATACACCCATCACACACGCAACACACAGAATACACACACAGCACACAAAATACACACCCAAAGTACACCAAATACACACACAGACATACTCACATATCTCTTTAGGTGTAGTAACTAACTCAGTAGAGCCCTGCCCTGGAGAACAAGAGCAAAGGGAGATACACAAGGTAGGAGAGATGAATTACAGGGGTTACATTAGGGGGGAGGGCAGGGAGGGCATTATTAAAATAAGGTTTAGTTTTTCATCTGGGGACTTACCCCGATTTGGTAAGCCATTGGCTCTCAACATCATCTCCACCTGTTGCTGGACTCGGATGTTCTTCCGCTCAGGGTATTGGTGTATCTCGTTCCTTTGATCCAACTGCAGCTCAGAAGGCATGGCCAGGGTGGACTCAAAGCTTTCTGGTGGTAAAACGGATCTGATAAACGGCGCATCTTGCAGAAGACTCATCTTCTAACAGCTAAGAGAAGCCAGTAACCAGCCAGCCAGCCAGCCAAGTACAAACCAACCAACAACCAAACCAAGAAACCAACACTCCGCAACCACTTGTGGACCAGAGTTCAACCTTGATGTCCCTGATTCGATCAGTCCACCTGCTATACTTGCTATGAATACTGCCGAAAGTTAGCTCCAAGTGTTAAGGCAAGCAGATCCTAACTTTCCCCACTGACTGCCACGGAGAGACTACACCCAGCTCAGTCCTTGACAACAGCGCTGGGTGGGGAGAGGTGGAACCGAGCTCCACCTTCCCACAGGTGAGTCAGATATCAGGTTCCACTCGCACACGCCTCCACATAAAAAACCCAGCCCTGCTCTGACATTGATTCTTGTCCTTTATTCACGCCCTCCTCCCCTTCTTGTATCAGAAAACACAAACTGTGAATTTGCCCAATTTCAACATTCCAGGATCGTTTGAACAGATAAGTCCACCTCCCTCTGTCCCTCCCGCTCTCCCTTCTCCTCATTATCTGATCACCTGCTCTGTCTTCAGTCTTTTTTTTAACCCACCCTCCTGGGCTCCCTACCCCCTTCCCTCTCCCCCTACACGCCCCCCCTCCACGCACACGCGGGGTTACGTGTCAAGGTGTCAGCAGTGTCAAAGACTTTGGGATGTCCTCCTGATGTGAAAGGCACTGTATCAATGTAAACTTGTCATTTGTAATCTGCTTTTCTTAATAATGATGTTAAAAAGCTCGCAGGAAAATCCCAGGTACGATTCCCGGACTGTGCTGAGTTAGTGCAAACTGTATCTCTAAGGGACCAGGGGTGAGGAGGAGGTTGGTTGGAATCAATCAGGATTTCTTGTTCCCTATCGCCACCTGGAGCCCGGCTGAGGATAATAATAATAACAATGATAATAATAATAAAAATAATACCTCTTTTAGCTGAGGTGGGTGTCAAACGAGGGTTTGTTTGGCAACATAATAATAATATAATAATCCTTGCATTTGTTATAGCACCTTATAACGTCTTCGAGACATCTCAAAGTGCTTCACAGAATACACTGTGAAGTGAAGTGACTATATTTTGTGGGCGAAATGCGACAGCCAATTGTGCACAGCAGCGTCCCCATAAACAGTCATGGATTGAGTGACCAAGTTATTATTTTTTTCAAGGAACTATTACCCAGGGAAAAGCGATCCGCCAATTGACGAACAACTGGGTTCCTACTTACTGCTAGGGTAAACAGAGGTGTGTGGGGTAAGAAAAACTTGCCCAACGTTTTGCCCTGCCCGGGAATCAAACCCAGTCCTCTCGCTTGCGAGGCGAGTGCTCTAATCACTGAGCTACAGCACTCCACGTACTAATTGTCACATTTGACACACCACATTATCGCGTTGTCGAGACGTCTCAAAACGCTTCATGGGATTTACAGTCGTGAGCTGTAGTGACTTGAGCAGTGACCTCTTTGTGAAGCCCTCCGAGATAATATCCTGCATCAAGTGACGGTAATAAGTACAAGTTGTTCTTGTTATCTGTAGATTCCTCTCTTCCCCTTTGTGGTGGGTGCCAGGTAACATAGGTAGGGTGTGTGACTGAGTGAGGGGCTACGGGCTCTCCGGTGGTGTGTTTGCTTAACTTCTAACGGTGCAGTGCAGTGCTGGGGGAGCTCTACATTGCTAAGGGCACCATCCTTTGGATTAGACATTAATCTGATCCAGTCTGTGCCTTATCCAGATGCTCTTTAAGGATACCATGAGACTTCTCCCGAAGCGGCAGCCAATTTTGCACACAGCAATGTCCCGCAAACAGCCATGAAACGAGTGACCAATTCTATCTGAGGTATTATTGGCCCAGGCCACAGGGAGAGAGACCTCAGGTTTCTGTGCCCAAGGTGTTGTCCCGACTCCCACCCTAGCTCTCTCGCTGAACCAGTTTATGAGCTATCTTCCTTAAACTGCTGACTGAGGGCTAAGAGCCCCTCCTGATCTTTCAACATATCTGCTGTCTCTGACTAAGGCATCCACCTCCCTCTAACACTCCCAGCGTCAGCCCCACTCCAGAGTGTCTCCAAACGGGTTACGCCCCAGACACTGTGAATGACGGAGACGGGAGGGTTCTCTCCAGGATCAGCTTGTGTTTAGTCTCAAACGTTTGGGGAAAGTTAACAAACCTTTTAATATAACAGTACAACTTTTTCCTGCTTTGCCTCTGACTGATCTTTAACCAGTGAGGCAAGTCTTCGTCACAGCCTCGCTGTCAAACCTCACCTTCCCAAAATAACAATAAACCCAGCATTAGCATCCGATAGAGCGTCTCAAAGTGCTTCACTGTAAAGTGGAGTGACTGTGTATTTTGCAGGCAAACCCAGTGCCCAATTTGCGCACAGCAATGACCCACAAACAGCCATGACCTACTTTAGTGTTTTGCCCACAAAATATAGTCAATTCACTTTACAGCGTAGCCTGTGAAGAGCTTTGAGACGTCACAGAGACGTGATAAGGCACTGTATCAAATGTAAGGATTATTATTATTAATCGGGAACGGGCCGAGCAGGGCTTTAGAGGTGGCTTCTTCAGTTAATGGTGCCAGAGTTTTTTTGTTGGATTGAACGATATCAGTAGGAGATGCTGGTGGGGAGAAACCACTGAGTGGGACTCGCTAGGAATTTAGTTCCCTACCCATTTAATGCTGGGGGTCACCTGGGATCCTGACCTGATCCCTGCTGCTATTCATTCAGTTACTTGACACTTGCAGGTTCAGTCCCTGGGTCCAGTCAAGCTCCCACTGAACTTATCATCATTCTGTTCGATGATAAACAACAACAATAAAATTACATTTGTATAGCACCTTTCATGTTGGGAGGACATCCCAAGGCTCTGGACAGACAGAGTTACAGACCCGAGCTGGGGGTTGGGGTGGGGAGGGTGGGGGGGAGGAAGCAGGGAGATCGAAAGCACGGTCGAAGAGGAGGGTCTTGAGGTGGGTCAAGAAGGTGGTGAAAGAGGGGCTGAGATAGAGGGACTGCAGGATGGAGTTCCAGAGGACGAGTGCAGAGTGGTGGAAGGCCCACCCACCAATTGTGGGGCATGCGAGGCGGGGGACGTGAGGCAGGCCGGAGCCTACTGAGCGGAGGGAGCGGGCAGGGTGCTAGGAGGTTAGGAGGTTGCAGAGGTAGGGGGGGGAGCAAGACCATGGTGGACTTTGGAAGTGAGTACCAGGATCTTGAACTGTATTCTCTGTGGGATGGGAAGCCAGTGGAGTTGGGAAAGTGATAGGGTTCTAGATAACCTGCGTCTATGGAGGGAGGAGCTGCGGAGGCCGACAAGCAGTGAGATGGCATAGTCAAGCCTCGATGTAATGAAAGCGTGTATGACGGTTTCAGCGGCCTATGGTGTGAGACAGTGGCGTAGCTGGGCGACGTTGTGGAGGTGGGGGAAGGCAGAGCAATTTATGGCGAAGATATGGGGTAGAAAGGATAGTTTAGGGTCAAACAAGACCCCAAGGGTCCGGACTGGCTCAGTGAGGTGGAGTGTGCAACCATGGATGGTGATGCTGTCAGCGCCTGAGGGAGGAGGCGCTGACGGGAGCCAATCAGGAGGGACTCGGTCTTTTTGACGTTCAACTGAAGGAAGTTTGCTCTCATCCAGGACTTGATGTCTGACATTATGTCAGATCAGCAGTGGGTCCTGGAGTCGGGGGTGGAGGCAGAGAGCTAGAGTTGGGTGTCATCCGCATACATGTGGAAGTTGACCCCATGTCTGAGGATGATGACACCAAGAGGGAGCATATAGATGTTGAAGAGGAGCGAACCAAGGACAGAGCCCTGAGGAACGCCACACGAGACATTGCAATTGGTAATCTGCCTAACTCTGCAATCACCTTCTGCCTATTCCCCTGCCCTCTCCTCAACCAACTCTGGCCTCTCCTCCCCCCTCTCCAATGCTACCTAAAGCTTTCAGAGCCTTGTGCACCCCCTCTACTACTCCCCCACTCCCCTTCAGGCTGACGCTCCAGGTGAGACGTTAAACTGAGGTCCCGACTGCACCTGTTCAGGTGGACTTTAAAGATCCCTTTGCACTATTGGGAAAAGAGAAGAGAGTTTCTCTCCCACTGTCGTAGCCAATACAATTATCCCTCTAGTAAAACCAGTCATTCCCTTGAGTAGCTGTGTGTGTGAGTATGCGTGTGTGTTAATGTGTGTGAGAGAGAGATTGAGGGGGTGAATTAGCTGTGTGCTACCTCAAAACAAACAACCATCCCCTCTGAAGCAGTTTGGAGACATGTGAACAATACTAGGAGCTGAATCAGATTACAGTAATAATAATAATAATCCTTGCATTTGATATAACACCTCATCACGTCTACGAGACATCTCAAAGCGCTTCGCAGAATATACTATAAATTGCATGCATATTTTGTGGACAAAATGTATTTTCATTAAACATTCAAAATATATATTCACAGATATATATACTCAGAAACATTGACAATAATTCATTGAAAATCCTCACTGTTTCAGTAAGTGCGACGCACATACAGACACACAGACACAAAATAGTGTATTTATATATTTGAAAGTTAAAGTCCTACTCACGTTGCTGTTGAAGATCTGAGTGCTCTCTCACTCCTCTGTTCCTCCCTTTTCTCTCCTGGCTAATGCTGGCTCGCGGTGTTTGGGTTTTGTCTGATCTGGGTGGTGGCCTCTTGTTTTAAGTGAGTTTTCACACAAGGTGGAGTTCTGCTATGGGTTTGTGGTTTGTCAATGCCTTTGTCACCAAAGATCTTAATCTGACATCAATGACATGATTCAGAGGCAGTGGCTAGCCTTGCCCAAATTACACATAAAGTTTAGGTGGAACAGGTTGCAACATATAAAATGTACATTTTACCGAAAAGTATGAGGCTCTCAGTGTTAACATAAACTGGGATCTGTTACCGGGTTTTTCCACGCCCTTTGCATCCTCTAGAATTATAGAATCATAGAATTATACAGCACATGTCTGTGCCGACTCTTTGAAAAGAGCTACCGAAATCAATCCCACTCCCCCACTCTCCCACTCCCCATAGCCCTGCAAACTTGTCCTCTCCAAATAATTATCCACTTCTCTCTTAAAAGTTCTTATCGAATCGGCTTCCACTACCCTTTCAGGCAATGCATTCCAGATCCCAACAACTCGCTGTGTGAAAATATTTCTCCTCCCTGTTTCATTTAACAGCTATTTTAAACCGGTGTCCTCG